ATCTGATGCCATTTTGCCGGACTGCCCCTAAGCTGTCATCTGTCACACAGCAACAAAATGAAACGGAATATTAGCGGGAAGGTTCAGCCTCTACTGCCATGCCACCAACATCTGCCTTAGACATTATGGGCCAACATAATAAAGTAGGGGGTGTTACTTTTGAAGAGGCCTTCATGTGTTAATTGCTGTATCATACCGTATGTCATCACCAGTGTGGTTGCTGTATCAATATTACTCCTGTAAGTTACACAGATTAACAAAGGATGAACCTTGATGGAACCGAGCAAGGGTGGTGGTGATTAACCAGGGTACTTTGGCAAGTGCAGGACCGGAAAGCATGATGTAAACGGTATGGAATAAGAGTGGATATTGTCCTGGTTTCGGCTGTGATGGTCACCTGCCATTACTCAGGTGACTGGCTGGGCATCAGTCAGCAGGTGGTGAGCAACTGCACTGCGCATCATTTCCTAGACACACACACACACAGGCTGCTCCAAAAGAAATGCCTCCTGTCTTATTACGTTGGCCCACAGCATCTGAGTCTGTAGTTCTCCAGTCCACCAGAAGTGGATTTGCTCTGTGTTTTGTACCAGATCATTGCGTAAGACAAGCCAGAGATCACACATGCAGTAGACAAGTCCTGAATTCCAAAACAGAGGATTCAACTTCACGCACTTGCCCTCTGCATCTCTAGCGGAGCTTCTTGTGATACAGCTGTGGGTGAAAAGCCTAAAGTAAATGCTTGGCCTCTCTCTTCCTTTTTAATTTCTTATAGCTTTTCAAGCTCTATGACTGCTTAAAGGAATTTCATTCCTATCCTCAGTGCTTCAGGTAGGATAACGAGATTCCAAGAGATTCTGTTGCCTGAGGTAACAGAAAATTTCAGGATAACTTACCCCCATCAGGCAGTAAGAGACTTTCAGGGACTGTCACTGGCACCATACCAAGAAAGATCGCTAAGATTTGGAGAAAATTCTGAGGCAAGGTGTGTCTGCTGCTGTCTTGTAAGTAGTGACACACAAGTTGAAGTTTGCCCAGATCGTGGCTGTGGTTGCTTGGCCTGCTACTGAAGCTAGTTTATCAACAGCCCTTTCGCACAAAGCAGCACCCCTGTATGGAGTGGTTCTTAGAAATGCAGACTTGTACTAAACACATCATCAAGGGAGTATCAACACATTGATACTCTCCCCTCCCACAGCAACCTGTCTCTTTCCCCAGAACTAAGATCCAAGGCTAAAGCCCATGGCAAGGCAAGCAAAGGCATTTGTTCACACTCTGGTCCAGCCAAAGCACCTTGCTAGAAGTGGCTGCAGTAAAGATGATACTCAGCTGTGCCCCTGCAAAAACTTTATTGAGTATGTAGATGCATGAGTCATCATTTGTCTGGAAGTAGAAGGATTAGCTCTTTCCATGGCCATTTCCTCTCTTGACATGAGGTCTAAAGAAGTGGGAAGAGTAGCCCTATTGCAATGGGAGAAACATACCTTTCATTCCCAGAGGTCAATTGCCAGTGAAAATACCAGTATTCACTTTACAGGTTCTGTTTCACGTTTTCAGCTGATGTCTGAAATGAAAGCTGCTTTAACCACTCCGTAGAAATCCATCTTACTGCAACTGTGAGTCCACTAAGCCCTCTACGTACATATTATGAGCTGGGCAAAAAAAAACAGGATGAGGTTTAACAAAAGCAAGTGTAGAGTCTTGCATCTGGGGAGAAATAATTGCATGCACCAGTACAGGTTGGGGGATGAGCTGCTGGAGGGGAGCTCTGCGGAAAGGGACCTGGGTGTCTGGTGGACGACAGGTTGGCCATGAGCCAGCAGTGTGCCCTTGTGGCCAAGAGGGCCAATGGCATCCTGGGATGCATTAAAAAGAGCGTGGCCAGCAGGTCGAGGGAGGTGATCCTCCCCCTCTACTCTGCCCTGGTGAGGCCTCATCTGGAGTACTGCGTCGTTCTGGGGTCCTCAGTACAAAAAAGACAGGGATCTCTTGGAAAGAGTCCAGCGGAGGGCCACAAAGATGGTGAAGGGCCTGGAGCATCTCCCCTATGAAGAAAGGCTGAGTGAACTGGGTCTGTTCAGCCTCGACAAAAGAAGACTGAGAGGGGACCTGATCCAGGTCTATAAATATCTAAGGTGTGGGGGGCAGAATGGCGAGGCCGGACTCTTTTCAGTGGTGAGTGGAGACAGGACAAGGGGAAACGGCCGGAAACTGCAGCATAGGAAGTTCCGCACAAATGTGCGCAAAAACTTCTTTACAGTGAGGTGACGGAGCACTGGAACAGGCTGCCCAGGGAGGTGGTGGAGTCTCCTTCTCTGGAGATGTTCAAGACCTGCCTGGATGCCTACCTGTGCGACCTGCTGTAGGGAACCTGCTTTGGCAGGGGGGTTGGACTTGATGATCTCTGGAGGTCCCTTCCAACCCCTACAATTCTGTGATTCTGTGAATACCAGTATTCACTTTACAGGTTCTGTTTCATGTTTTCAGCTGGTGTCTGAAATGAAAGCTGCTTTAACCACTCCGTAGAAATCCATCTTACTGCAACTGTGACTCCACCAAGCCCTCTACGTACATATTAATAGGACGATAGAACCCAAAGAGTTACAGCTCTTCTCCATTCCAGCCTGGGAAGGGAAGGAGAGCTGAGAAGGAAAAATGAACCAAGATTTCATGCTGCAATTCAGTTAACCATTTTTTTTCTGTTTAGCTTGAGTAGGCACTCAGTCACATATAGATGATCCTTCAGATTTCCGCCTTGGCAACTTTCAAGGCCAATGTGTTTTTGGATTAAAAGAAAATGGTAGTTTGGGCTCTCATCTAGAGGAATACAGGGCAGGTGGAACATATGGACAACACTAAGCTAAATCATTTGCCAACTCAAATATTCCCCTAACAACGCTACAAGAATAAAGTTACCATTGTAATAAAGAGCTAGTAATTTAAGGCATGTATAGGGCTTAAAGCCATTAAACCTACACAGAAGATGCTAATAAGATGAGAACAAAGTAAAATTAAGTAAGGACAGAGAAGGAGGAAGTGCTCAGAGCCTTTCCTACTGGACATAATTGAGGAGTGTACCCATTTCCTCTCATACCTCGATTAGCCAGGGCTGTTCAGGGCCTATCTAGATGCTAACCCCTCTCCAGGGACTCCACTCTAGCACCAGATTAGAGAGGTTCTATCTTGACACACATAAATAGTCCATTGCAGCTCAAACAGGCAGCTCATAGCAGCCAACCGGCCCATTTCCCAGCTTAGCAGGAGTCAGTACTCCCACAAATGAAGGAATTGTCTAAAAAGACTGTCTGCTTTTCATTATGTCAACAGATCTCAGAAGAGGAGTGCTTTCTGTAAAATCCAAATAAAGCCAAATTCAGTCTTCCGGACAGTTTACTTCAGTTCAGGTATAAGCTGAGACCAACTAATGTCTGTTCCTAAGTTTTCATCCTCAAGACCGGGAAAGCTGATATCTAAAAGAATTTTGCTCAAACTGTCATTCATGGTGTCCAAAATCAGGCCCTCCATGAGCGATCGGTTTTCAGTAAAACTAGAGGCTGGTAGTTCAAGAGGCAACTGCTTACTAGATTTGTGAATAAAAGATGGAGAGCTCGTGATCCAGATCTATAAATATCTAAGGCGTGAGGGGCAGAATGGTGAGGCTGGACTCTTCAGTGGTGAGTGGAAACAGGACAAGGGGAAACGGCCGGAAACTGCAGCATAGGAAGTTCCGCACAAATGTGCGCAAAAACTTCTTTACAGTGAGGTGACGGAGCACTGGAACAGGCTGCCCAGGGAGGTGGTGGAGTCTCCTTCTCTGGAGATGTTCAAGACCTGCCTGGATGCCTACCTGTGCGACCTGCTGTAGGGAACCTGCTTTGGCAGGGGGGTTTGGCCTCGATGATCTCTGGAGGTCCCTTCCAACCCCTACAATTCTGTGATTCTGTGATTCTACTTAATCATATATGGCAACTCACTCAAGGATAACTGAGGTGTTTTTTCGCTTATTTGTGGCTGCGTTTTTTTTATTTTTTTATTTTTTATTTTTGTTGTTGGTGCTGTTGTTGCTGACATTGAAGCAAATAACTTCGCTTAGGTCAGAGAGCAGAGGGAGCTGGGTACCTTGATAAGACCAATTCCCCTCTCCTCTGCATTTCTTTTCCAAATGATTTTGATATCTAACTTTCAAAACAAAGTCACATTTCACAGTGAAGTACTATTACTTTCCCCTTAACGAAGGGCTCTATTCAATGAAGCATAAAAGGTGAATCCTCTGTTTTCTTCATCATTTATTTTGATTTGTTGCAGATGGTGCAATGGCTTCTCTCCTTTGAAAATGTTAATTAAGAAATGATCACCCATTCCCATCCTCTAGAATATGTTCACCTGTTTATGTATTTTCAGTTTAAATATTTACAGAGTAGGTTACAGTTATAATAACATTTACCTTAATTGTTTTGGTGAAGTTAGCTTGCTTCTGAATTTGCTTTCAGCAAAGAATAATTCCACACAAAACATGTTAAGAGCAGAATTCAGCAGACCATGAAGTTCAAGAGATCAAGAGTTCAAAACTAACAGTGGTTACAGTAATCAGCTCTTGATTTGCAAACCAGGGGAACGGTTTTTCTTGCCTTCTTTAACAGGGGTAAGATACTAATTTCAGAGGTAACTGAGAGATTTACAGGTATCAGAATGTAGAGCAGCACAGTAAGTATAAAGCAGATATTTTGCTGATAGTAACAAAGAATCACCATTTCAACTTGGTGTTCCCCCTAACCATCTTAGCTCTTGATTCAGAAATACACCGTACTGTACTTCAGTAGCAGAACAGGTTCAGATGGAGTATAGGAAAATGTATAACAAACCGTCTCAAAACCACTATCTTGAGACTGAGGTAAGCATTAAAAACATGAAACTAAGAAGTGCAAGCAGCTCAAAAAAATAATCAAATGGGAACCACAAACTATACCAGAAACCTTGCTTTGGGAAAAAAAACAAAGACATTAATAGACAATAACCTTACATTTATTCCTAGGCTTCTAAGTGTATGAAGAAAACATCACAACAGAACAGAACTGAGAATAACAAAGGAAAAGGTGTATAAAAGAAGAGAGTAAGATACGAGCAGACAGGAAGAAACAGTGGAAGTAACTAGTACAGGAGGAACAAGTAACAGCCACAAGTGACAAAACCGTAGCAGAAAGAAAACAAAAAATCTTGTTTAGAATTATTGAGTTTTCCAATATATAAATTATTTATTTGCATTGAGATATAAAAATTATAAATACAATTGATGTAAAACAGTATCTGATAAAAAAGCACTTATGCAGTTAATCTGTCCACAGAAGTTGACCAAGCGTCTGAGACTTTGGCCCAGTGAAGATCATCTGACATCAACTTGAAGATCCACTGCTAATTAGCGTAATTGTCAAGCAATGCTACCATGACTTTTTGAGAACAGAGTAAAATTATCTTGAATTGGAAATCAGCATTCAACCTTCAACACCTTCAAGTCACATCAAACTAACACAGTGCAGTTTCTTTCATACTGTCCTAATCAGAAAAAAAATAATCAGATTACTATCAGCCTTCTTAGTATTTCTGGATGAGTAAAAGTAAGGCAGAACCACCAGTCAAAGAACTCAGCCGAACATAACTTGAGAACACTGCCAGATCTTGTCCCTGGCCTGATGAGCAGGAAGTACATGAAGGCACCAAGGATATTCATGGTATCAGTTCTCTTCACTGACTGATGTGCTGATGAGATCTCTCTGAATACAATGGCTCTCCAGCTAACACAGAATGGGTTTTTAAGATTGGGCTTCCAGCATTTTGTAGAGTTGGTCCTCCCAGCAACAGTTTATAATTTACAACTAAATACAAAGTTTACAAATGATTACTGTTATTTGTTGTTTGTTTGTTTGTTTGTTTGTTTTTCCTGGGCAATTAAACCCTGTTAAGTCATCTTCTGTTTCTATTTTGAAAGAGTGATACTTTCAAAGTGATAACTACCTGCAAAGACTCTGGAGACCAAAAACAGTAAGCCTGCTTCTTAGGAGCATGAAATAGAGCGCGTCTGCTGATAATAGTAACATGTAAAACTGAAGAAAGCTATTTCTTGTCTTAATGGAAGATACAGTTTTCCAGACTCATCGTGGATATGCATAGTAGCCATGGAAGTGGCAAGTTATTAGCTGTTCTGCTTTAGTGCAGAGCAGATGTGCGCACTGAGGCTCGCATGTCAGCGTGCAGCGATTCACTGATAAATCAAAGCCGTATGAGTCAATGTTGTAACCTACAGTCTCCAAATTGTACAATCTAGCATTTAAATGGGAACATGGGAAAGAAACATTATACAGCCCCGTGATACTTTTTTTTTTAAAAAAAAAAAAAACTCAACTGATGCCTTTGAAAACATCAGTAATCTCCTCTTGAGGTATCTTACTCTTACAGGCAGATTCAAATTATTTACATGAAACCTACAACTGTGTCCTAACTTGAGATAATCTCACATTGAACAAAAAAAAATTGAAATGAGTCACATCTCGCTCGTTCCTAAAAATGTAGAAAATTTTACAAATAAAGGACAAGTTAAAAAGTATTTCTGATCACCATAAGGTCTAGATTCAGATGTTCAGTCCAAACAGTGCTTTTCAGGAGCAGTACAATACTACTTTCAGTCAAAGTCATGTTCCATCGTCTATTCAATCTTATATTTCACATAGTTCAAAATAAGAGATACACCAATGGATATAATTTTGCCAAATTAAAAAGGAGTGATTCTTCATTTGCTAAAAAGTGTATCAAGGGACATGGAGCAATTAGGATAATGAAAGGGAAATGGACTATAAAGTTTAACAGAGATTCATTCTGCAAAATAAGAGAAACATCTTTCATTAGAGCCAGCGTCTCAGTCCACTTCTGTGTTTGTTGACCACTACCTACAGTTGCATGTAGGCTTAACATGAATCCTTTTCCCTTTCACTGTTGTTAACAGGCTGCAAAATGCTGCACAGGGCAAGACAGAATATATGCCATAACTACTCTCCTTTTTTCTTAATTAATCTCATCAGAAACTCAAAGTAACATCAGTAGCATCATCTCCATGGGCATTGCTGAAGATTCAAGGTACGTGAACACTAAACCATTATTTTTCTAATTCTAGCTGCAATGGGTTTCAACTAGTGAAACAAATTCCTTTGCCTCCTCAAGCAGCAGCTGATGCAAAGATTCTGAAAGCATAATCAATTCTGACAACAAAAACATCATCTGTGTTCCTTGCTCTTCCACAAAGTGTACAGAGACCACTCAGTCTTGAGATAGTCTCCTAAGATGGTCAACTGTTAAATACCAAAATGCTCTCAGGATTGCTGTTTACTTTCCAATAAGCTCACAAAAGTTTGTCTTCCAGTATCCTTCCACCCCCAATGTGCTTTCCATTACTTCACCTGGAATTCTAACAAGATACAGAGGCGGGAGTGAGTTCTATGTCTCAAGTCTGCTGTTTCTCATTCACAGGCCAATTTACTATCAAAGCTGGAGAGTCCAATAGCAAAAGCCTGAAGAGCACAGAGAGGATAGTTATAGTCCAGAGTGAAAACGTCTTCTGCTACACGACCGAACTGCATCACAATGTAGTCAGCTGGGGAGAAAAAAAAAAAAAACAGAGACCAGCAATTTTTAGAGGTAAGCAAAGAAAATAGACAAAAAGAAGTTTAAAAGTGTCTATCAGTCCCAAACATACGCAGTTGGTGTATCCATCTTTCTCACCACACTGGCTTTAAAATCTGTTGACTGTAGTGACTGTGGCATTCTACAGATTACCTTCCTTCTAAGAACCAAGGCTCAAACCACTCTCACATTGCATTGGAGGTGTGATGTTAACTCTTTCTTTCCCCTGCAAGAGACTTGCAGTTCCTCTCTCTCCTTTTCATGCTGCTATTGAAAGCAGCCTCTCTGCACTCATCCCAAAAAAGTCAGGTCTTTTGTAGTTTTCTCAACAGAATTCCCCAATAATTCTAAGCTAACTTCCTTCACCCAGTCTCCCTTCTCCAGGAATATTGTTCTATTCCTCTGAAACCTCATGAAATATACTGTTTTTTTCCTGTTTAAATAACTCCCTCCTCCACTCTTCACCAGACTCTTACGGTCATTGTCGTGGACAATCTGGAAGTTCTTCACTGAGGCCTGAGTGACTCTCCCATGGAAATTCAAAACATAGGACTGAGTATCATCATTCCAGACTGGAGCCTTGTTGTGCAACTCAATGAGGTTCTCTAAATCTTTAGTTTGCCATTTTGACAGAAGACTCTCATTTTCCTATTTAGAAGAAATAAACATTTTATCAGATTCAGAATGACTCTGCTTTTGAGCACTGCCTCTCTCATATGTGCATTCTGTGACTTCAGCGTCATTTCCTACTAAATGAAATGCTGGCATTTAAACTCAGTCCTACTGAAAGTATCCTGCAAGTAACAAGAAAATACTTTCCAAGCACTCCTTTCTACTCTATAAACTATTACCATATCTCTACCCAAACAAGAAAAAAGTGAGACAAAAAGCATGCATGTGGACAGAAAAGACAACAATTCACACATCACAGATGACTGCCATCCTGCTAGCAGGAACCTCCTTTTTGAGATTTATATGGTTTCTGTTCATTTGTAAACCTTCTGTTTTCAATATTCTAAACTTTGAAACAAAAGAAAATAATGTAAAATTAACTACGTAGTTAATGCATATGTCTCGTGGCTGTGTTGTGTGTCATGAGGTGTTTCCAAAGGCTGAAGGAGATGTAAGTACAATGTGAGTAGGTTAAATGTCATCCTACGTTGTCTAATAAAAGGTGCATGATACGAAAAACATACAGAGAAATAAAAATTAAAAGATGCAAAAAGTAGGCAAAATAGTACAGTAAGACTGAGAAAAAATTACTTACAAGGAACTGGAAACTGTAGTGAGATACAAGATGTGATTTTATTTTAAAAGCTATGCAACAAATAACATAAAATGTAATAATATAAGCTAAAACTGACAAGAAAATGAATCCAAGAAGTTTAAGTTATTTAACAGGAAGGAGGTGATCAGAAAGCAGTATTTTCAGGCTGAAAAAGCACTGAAGTGCTTTAGTATTGCAAACAGATAAAAAATAGATTATTCCAAAAAATTCATTTTCCTTAAAGTAAAGCTTGTTCTGATTAAGATAATTATTTAATGCACTTATTATCATCTTCATTTTACTTTTATAAAGGTGCAAAAAGAACTTTAAAAATTGGAACAAACAAGTTGTGTTTAGATATTTGTTTTTGTTTTAATGTGCAGGCAATATTACTTAATCAGAGGCATCACACTACAGCAAAGGAAGACAAAAACAGTTAAACTTCTCAGCTTTGTGGGATGGTCAACATGCCTGACAGATGAGATATCATCTAGAGACACCTTGACAGGTTCCAGAAGTGGGCCCAGGTGAACCTCATAAAGTTCAACAAATTTAAGTGCAAAGTCTTGCAACTGGATCATGGCAATTCCCACTATCCCCACTACTAATACAAACTGGGGAACAAAACAATGGAGCAAAAAGGACTTGGGTACACTGGTGGATGGCAAGCTAGACATTAGCCAGCAATGTACCTTCAAAGCTCAGAAAGCCAAGCACATCTTGTGCTGCATCCAAAGAAGCATGGTCAGCAGAGCAAGGGAAGTGATCCTGCCCCTTTTTACTCTGAGCTGGTGAGACCTTATTTGGAGTGCTACATTCAGATGTGAGGTCTTCAGTACAGGACAGACATGGGCCTGTTGGAGTGTGTTCAGAGGAAGAACACCTCCACTATGAGGACAGGCTGAAAGAGCTCTGGGGAGACCTGATAGCACTCTTTCAGTATCTAAAAGGGGGCTATAAGAAAGAAGGGGTCTGTTTAGCAGGGTCTGTTATGACAGGACAAGGGAAATTGTCTCAAATTAAAAGGGGGGAAATTTAGACTGGATATATGGAAAATGTCTTTCACAGTGAGGGTAGTAAAACATTGGAACAGGTTGCCCAGAGGAGGTAGATGTCCCAGTCCTGGAGACAGTCAAGGTCACACTGGACCAGGCTCTGAGCAACCTGATTTAGATGAAGATGTCCCTTTTAATTACTGGGGAGTTGGACTAGACGACATTTAATTGTCCCTTGGAACTCAAACGATTCTGTGATTATAAAACTTTGGAACAGCTTCATGTTTCAGCCTTGGCCACAGTCACTATGCTTGCCTGCTAACGAAGCAGTAGATATAAAGGGTGAGAAAAATACATTAAGGGCCTTTGATGAAAAGGGGTTGTACTTGCAACAGCAACAAGACAGAGTAGCCATTTGCAATAGCCAAGTAAGTAACATTTAGGCTGCCTAAAAGACAAATAAGAATACAAACAGGATTCAGAAACTTACAAGTGACATAAAAGGCAAGAATAAATTCATCATCACCTTTGAGCAACACTGTTACTGCCCGTTAGACTCGGTAACAGCCACAGCCATGACCAACCACTCTCTATCAAGAATGATTGTCAGTAACACCCACACTTCCTTGAGAAAGTTTTAACTCCGTAACTCACATTTTGTGGCTGGACTGGAATTCGCTTATGATTCATATTCATTCCTGGAATGATCACAGACATTTTTCTGGGACCTTTGAATCCTAATACATTGGTTTCCTGAAATACAAGGAAAGACACTATTTTCAGGAATGGATATACTCCATCACGCAGAACGAAAGACAGCAAAGCTGAACTTGAATTCACATTTATGTTATTTTCAGAGATTTGCTGGCTATAACTATGCTAGCTGGATATCACAAGAATGTTCCTAAAGAATGACTGGCATTTTTCTTTAGGTTCCGTTACTTGTGTTTACGAGTAGACATACTATTTTCTCTCATTTTTATTCTTTGATTAAGATTAATGATTAAGAATAGAACTAGAAGGCAAGGTAGTCATCATCCATTCAAGCCTCAATCTTAAAACAAATAGATTTTTCCAGAGTACTGCATGATTCTGCTCCATGTAGAGTTAATACAGAAAGCAAAGGAAAGAAGTCTTTCTTGGTATTCTTAAACCACTTATTTAATAATGTCAACCAAAACCCAGTGGTCTGAAGTGATCTGTACCCATGTCAGCACTTTTCTAAGACAGAATCTTTTAGAATCGCTGAATTAAGTGATACAACTTCTCCTGATGTGCTAGTGCATTTTAACAGATGAAGAATAAAGCTCTTCAGAGTTGCAATCTCTCTTATTTCATTTTAAAAGATCTAGGAACATAATCGAGAACAAGAGCACTGATTTTATTCATATATGAACTTCACAAAACTTCATATGAAAAGTACTGATATGTGAAAAGCTGACTTTATATATCTGCTATACTCATTTTAAAACCTTGCTCTGTACAGTTAGGTACTGTATGCAAAGGAAAGATCTGCTGATATTTCTGTGAACAGGTTAGTACTCGAATTATCAAGTCCATTTTTTCCCCTACATGCCACTAGGATCAGTAGCCAAAAAAAAATTAAAAGCATGCTTCAGGCTAATGAACCTTTAAATTTCTGCTACTGTACCCATGATAAAAGATAAAAACTTCTACATGACTGAATTGGATTTTGTGAAGTATCTCAGATTTTCCTTAAACCTCAGGATTGGAGTCTAACAATTTTTGTTCAAGTAACAAGCTCGTTACAACATTAATTTGGGTCTGTCTCCCTCTGACATCAATGAAAAAAAAAAATCAAACTCATAAGAAATTATATTTGAGGCTTCTGCCCTTTATCTTACCTGGTGGAAATCAGTTCTAAAGTTTAACGGAGGAGGCTGCAGGCAGCATCATTTTGTGAGCCTTGTCTCCTTAGTAATCAGCCTACAAACTAGAAGGAGGCAAAAGGGAAGAGGCACTACTTACATAATAAATAGCTGCGAGTTCTTGTCGTGTATGAGCCTTTTCCACTTGACCCTGTGCCTTTATTGGGCTTACTCCATGGTCATAGACTGTAAATTTAGTTCCCATGAGGTTTGACCTAATGTCAGGTTATAGAAAGACAAACAAAAAGAAAGAGGCATCAGTAGAAATTTTTATTATCTTCCAAAAGCATGTGTGCATGACAGAAAAGTTAGGCATCTCCAGTCACCTAGTCTTTCTCCAGTCATCTCAGTAAGGAATTTCAGTAAAGAGCCCCTTGTAAAACTGGGCACATAACCTGTCCTGAAAAGCACTGAGCCAGAACTGCCAGAAGTGACAAATTGTTTCTCTCTGAATAGAGAGCAGATTGCTATCCATAACTCTAACTAAACAAATATGTAAATTCCATCTATCCCACTGCAGAATATGTAAATTTTTCTGCAGTTTTTATTGATTGTTCTTACCTGAGTTTTCCAATGAAACTTTCCCCTTCCCGGGACAAATCAGTTGGGTCAACTGATATGACATAATTGGACGTTTTGCTCTTTTTTCGTTTTCTACCTGCAAGAAGAAACATCTGGAAATACAAAACTTTTATCAAGACTGGAGTTTTGAAAGAATGCAGAGGCACTGCTATCCAGACTGTTACCTCTCTATTTCCCATATCCATTCCCACTTTTGTTCTGAACTGTTATTACTGTGTTGCTGATTTTGACCTCTCACACAAGTATATAACCTGAAATCCTGTTCTTCCAATTAAATCATTCAGCATTCTAGATTAAAGGCAATTGTCTTTTCCAGTTGTTCCCTCTTTTCATCTGGAACAGCTCAGTCTCCCTGCTTTTCTTTAACCCTAACATTTTAAAACATTTTAATTTCATCTTTCTTTGTATTTTGGCTTCTAAACTTACAAACATTTTCCTTAGTGTCTTGACCAGATATAAGTTTCCCTCATCCTCATGTCTCTCCTCTGCTTCTGGTTTCTTATTGATTCATGCAGTGTTCTTCATTACACTAAAATGTTATGTCTAGGAATACAACAGCCAAGACACTGTACACTGCTTTCAATACCTTTCTGTTGTTATCCTTTTCCAGATGCATGTAATAAGTAGGGAAGAGGCCTCGGTCCATTCCCTTCTTATCTCTAGTGACTCGACACTTGACTGTAATACCACGGGGTGCAGGGCGCAATGCAAATTCCTCCAAGTTCTCTACTTCTCCCAGATGTGCAACCGCCTGAGGGGATGGACTACAGGAAGCACCTATTTCCTACAGGAAAAACCTTCGTATTAGAAAACCAACATCAGACCAGAGATTTCAGTATTCCCCACAAGAAGGAAAGTCTGCTGAAACAGATGTCCCAAGAACATATTTGAGAAAAGAAAGCTGAATGATAAAACATCTGTGTATCTCCGAAGAAAGTGGATAAAAACTTTTTTACTCTAGCTCTCCTAGGGAAGGAGAGAAAATGAAGCTGTTATCCAGAGTGAATTACTAGAAATCGGAAAACAGGTTGAGACACTGTAAACATTCTAAACAAAGAGCTTCTCTGCCTCTAGAATTTCAAACCCTGTGGTAAATAAGGCAGCATGATATGCCGGATGGATGCTGCAGTAAGACAGACTGGTGTTCTCTGGCTGAAAAAATCACTAAGCTTATGCTGGTTCAAAAAAGCAGCAGAAATGGAGTAAGACGGCAGTGCTGGAGATACCTTTGAATAATATATACAGTTAGGATGCATACTGTGGTCATCAAAGAAACTGGAATTCTAGCAGAAATATATCAGATATTAAAGTCATTTTTTTAGAGGAAGCTAGCTTAGCGACTGGTGTCAGCGCTAACAGCAGAGCCATGACATGGGGCTGGGACAGGCCTCACCATGCTGCTGGGCACGGCAGCGAGGAAAGCTCATTCAACCCAGAGTCCTGGGCCCTCGGAGAGGAGGGAGGGAGCCCACTGCCCTGAGTTGGGTGCTTCTCAGTCCCTTTCTTAAGAGAAGAGGAAAACATGGGCCAGCACCTCCCAAACTTCCATTTGTAGGATCCGAGGGAGTGGCACAGAGCTGCATTAGGGAAGGGTGATGTTGGGTGTTTAGTTTGATTCTTCTCTGAGAGGATGCCTGGTCATGCAACAGGCTTCCCAGGGTAGTGGTCAAGGTGCCAAGCCGCTAGAATTCAGTGTTGTCCAATGACTGCTTGGACAATCAGACACACGGTTTGAATTTTGGGTGGTTCTGTGGGGAGCCAGAACTTGGAATCTGTGATCCCTACAGGTCCCCTACAGCTCAACATGCTCTGTGAAACCTTGTAGACTGCAAAATTTGGAGTATTCCTCCTTCATCTTGGAGATGAATGAGTTTGCTCGTTTATCCCTATTAGCAGCTTCATACAGTATAAAATCTGAGTGAGTACACATACAGACTCACTTGAAATTCCCTCATGAGGAATTTCCAAGTCATCTCCAGCAACTGTCAACCACACCTCAGTTTTTTGATTTACTAGCAATTAGATCTCTTGTATTACTCACTGGCTAATGTAGCACAGTATACACACAGCCTCCTCACAAATACACTCAGTTGGGTCACTTGAATATTAGCATGGACTTCCAGGATCAGGATCCCTGGAGCCTTTTATCCTCTCTGTTCACTCCTTGTTCTCTTACGCTTGTTGTCTCGTGACTCAACTTGATCCTCTTCCCTTGTGTCCCTCTCTCTAGCACCTCATAGTAAGCTTTGTACAATCCCAGAATTTTCCCTACTCCATCCCAAAATTCTGTTCCCCCTTGCATCCCATCCCATGAAACCTATAATAGAGGTAGCAATCTCTCTTAATTTGTATGGCATTTCAGAGCTTCTCTGAATCATCTTAGCAGATTTTGAACCAGAGACAACGATCTAATCTTTCTTCTTTGAGCATCACAGGAGCACGTGATTCAGAGTGTTTCCCTGTTCACTGATTAGGTTACTTGGGTCAAGTTTCTTCACCCATCATTGTTCCTTTGATGACTACCAGGTCTTCCTATTAATTACATGTTCTTCTGTTAGGTAATCTGACAATACTGTCCTTTGTCTTCAAGGATTAACGATAACTGCAAAATAGTATTTTAACACAGTGCTAACGGGGTTAGTAGTAAAATCAATAACATGCCCAATTCTCATCAGAAACTCATTTCAAAACACCTACTGCAAAGGATTTCTCGACAGTTGCAGAATGAAGCCTCTCAGATTCAGGATGTGGTGACTGAGATGCTGGTCTCTTACTTACTTCTTCCTCTTCTTCTGTGTCCTCCTCATCAAAATTCAAACTGCCTGAAATTCCTGTCAGAATAGAGAATCAAGCAGATAACCTCTAAAACAAAGTGTCATGAGTATGTGGCATCACTAATTCACATATAATCTTTGTGTAACTATTATCGATTTTTTTTTTCAAATTGCTGATTTTCTTCTTGTCCTATATCATTTTCTGAGCATTGTAATTCTGATTATACTATGTATATAAAACTGACAGCAGTAGAAACATTTTACAGCTGTCAGATTGTGGCTGATAAAGCTTTCATTAATACATATTTTACCAAGCAATATATTATATAATCAACGTGCTATCATGAATTAAATTTTGCTTATTTTTATACACAAAAAACCAACAACCTCTCCATAGTTCAAGAACAAAAAAGGCAATCCAACTCTATAGTGGTAGGTAAAACCTACCCTGTAGGTTGAACTCTGTACAGTTTACATTCTTTATAATTTCCTCTTAGTGTTATTGAAGTAGATTATGACAATTCGTTAGTTAGAGCTTATTCTGTTTTATATCATCAGTACATCAGTAGCAATAACTTACCAAGTCTCAAATACTAATACTGATTTGATTGTCCCAAAATATATTTAATATTAATCACAACTATATAGAGGTGATGTAGATAAATAAAATATCTGTATGTATCACTGTTTGGTGTTTCCTCTCTACACAGAGTTACGTTGTTTGTGATTCCATTCTTTAATTTTGCTGTAGAATGGAAAAGTACATAATGAACTATAGAAAATTAATAGGCTTAGTCTGCTATAGCCAAATTATTTTCTGTGAATCAATTTTACAATAATGTTCTAATATAGGGGGCATTGCTGGGAATTCTTTATCTCAGATAAAACAGAAAAACATCTTAACGATCTGTCTGTAAACTTCTCAAAGCATGCTTAAAAGAGGAAAGGTGTTAACCCTAGTACTCCAGGTCAATGTCATCATTCACAGTCAATGTTTTACCTTCACTAATTTCTGCTGAAGTTTCTGGATATTCTCTCCTGCTTCTTTCCCTAAATCTCCTGTGATGTTGCTATTCATATGTAAACAGCTGTGGGATGTGACAACTGAATAAAACTATTCCTACACATGGTTGTAATTATGAAGAATATTGGAAACATTCTGGGACACAAGCTCTTCTAATAAAATAAGCTGCTGTATTAAACACTACCAATTATTTTGTTTAGGCTATGTTCAACAAAATGCCTTCCTGCAGTACTGACAGCCATGTAAGTCACTCAGCAACAGAGATGGACGCTCCCATGGGAAAGTACTCTGTGGGATACAGCCTCTGACTCAAGAAGAACATCTCTCTTATTAGACTTCTCAACTGTTAAATTAAAGCATTAGTGGTTTAAGAGGGTTCTACTGTTATGAAATTATTCAAGTATCATATCCAGATACATAATACCTGGAATTAAAATGCCCTGAATTTTAGCAAAATGTGAAACGCAGAGTTGTGTCACTAACTTATTTGAAAAGGTCAGATAATTATACAGCACATTTGTATCCAGTTAATAACAGAAGAAGAAACTGCAAATCTGCATTTCTGCATTCTGTACAATCTACTAGTTGTGAATGAAAGCCATACAAACACTTGTTTCATTGTTTCTTAATTTTCTAATTATTTTTAATGCTACAGAAAAAAAAAGATTACAAGCAGAGGAATCCTAAAAAACACATCTGCCCATTATCAACACTTACCTCGTTTCTGTAAGATTTCTTGCAGATCTGCATTGCCTAACGTTTCTGTTAGAGCGTGTCCATTGTTTTCCTCATCTGCATTTTCTGCTGTTATGGAAGATCCAACAGAGAAAGTTTGGAGTTTGGTTCCTAAATCTTGCACTTCTGATTTCAAGAAAGAAACTGGTCCATCAATGCCTGCAAGCCAAAATGAAACAAACTGTAAAAGTTTCATTTTTACAGATAAAGATATATTCCAGAATGGTTGTTCTTTTCATCCGTTCTTACTTAAGCATGCTTTAAAGTATTAACATATTCTTGTTGAATTCAACTTTTGTCAAGCTAGGCCTTAGTGTGATACAGATCTCGTTCCTTCCAACGCTACATACATCAGTTTCCCCTTTTATAAATATGGTGATTGCTTTTATTTTTTTTCCAATGGCTAGAGCAATTAAGATGTATGGTATTTGCCATGCAAGTTGTTATGTGTAATTTGGGCAATTATTTTTTTCTCTTGCTCCAACCTTCAAACTCATTGTTTACAAGTAATGATGTTAAATGAGCGTTCTAAGTAAACATCACCAATCAACTTGTTAAGAATATCCAAAGGCATAGGCCAAACAAAGAGTAAATTGATGCCTTCCTTAGTTTCAGTAGAAATGTAGAAATTATATTTCCAGGTTTAAACACGTAACACAGCATGCACTGCACTTTGTAATTGGGGGAGATCTCTTGATGTCATGGTCTGGCATAATATGAGGACTGCTCTGAAAGTGCAGCCCCCTATTTTATTATGTTGGCAAATGGCATCAAAGACAAACACTGGTGGTATGGCAGTAGAGAATGAACCTTCCGATTAATATTCCATTATGGTTGCACATGTTGCTGTGTGACAGCCTGACAAAATGGCATCTGACATGGAACTGCATTTGAAAAGTGAAGGTGTGGAATTGAATTTCTCTCTGTGGAAAAAATCATACTCATTGACGTTCATCAACATTTCCTAACTGTTTATGGAGACTGAACAGTGGATGTTAGCACAGTGAGGCGACAGGTGGTGCATTTCAGCAGTGGTGACAGCAATAGTAGATTACCTCCACTGGTGCAAATGTTCATTTTATTTTTCAATTTTACAAGCACAGAATGCAGGCTCTTGCTCGTTGCAGGTCAAAATGCACAGCTAATGGGAGTGAGTATGCTGAAAAATAATGTTTTGTAGCTCAGAATTTGCTGTATTAAATAGCGTTATGGTGTTCTTCCTACCTGTTGTAACTTACATGGAAATAAATAGGTAACTAGGTAACAGGTTATCAACTAGGTAACTCTGGTTTGTTTGTTTATTCCAAATTTTACCCCACAAATTAATTTCCTATTAGTCTAAGAGTGGCAATACAACATTCCGCATTTGTATGCCTCTCAAAGCCTATTTGCTATTACTTTCTTGATAGGCTGACAGGATCTTAGCTATCATAAACTACTTCCTGACATTTCTGCTACAATCCAGGGGTTAATTGTTACTCTTTTTTCCATCCTATGACACGCAAGTCTTTAAAGCTCTCATTAATGCATTTCTTTTCATTCTCAACAAAATGGCTGCTATTTTACTGTAATTACTTCAGACCAGGGGAGGCTTTGGCTCCCTGATTATGTCATGTTTGTGCCTTTCTGGACCCCTATAACTTGCTTGTCATGTTTCTGTTGTCTCCCAGAAGGCCTTAGGAAAAAAAAGAAAAAAGAAGAAAAAAAAAGAGATAAAAAACAGCCAGAATCTAATCTGGTATTCACAAGCTCTTTGTTTTGACTATTTACGATTTAGTCATACCCAATTTTGAAAAACAGCATACCATGATACCATGAAGAACAGTAAAGGCTGTCAACACAGGACTATCCTCTTTTCTTTGTCCTACTGCTTCAGGAAACTCTCTGACTTTTACTTCGGGATTTGCACCTCCCTACCTATACAGAAGTTCGTAACCCATTTCTACAGTTCTTTTTAACCTAACAAAAGGGAGAGACTACTCAAAAGCAGATGAAGATTCTCAGCTGTCACAAAATTGAAGATAAGATTTTTACTTGTTACACACTTCAATATTTCTCTGTCATATTATACAGCAGTTCTATTGCTGTACATAAGAAGATTTGTGATCCGTCTACCTTATGGCTTGACCACTGTCACAGCAACACAGGTAACCACCTATGACATAAAATGCATGCAGTGGCATGCTGGCAGAACACTGTTACAATCAGGTACTTACCATGTAACACAACATTATTGTGGAAAGTGGTAGGAGTTTCTACTAAAGGAGTCTGTTCTTCACATCCTTTGGGCTTTGACCTGTGCAGCTTTGCCTCAGGATTTGGCTGCACCATCAGGGGATCAAGACGTTTCTTCTTCTGCTTTTTCTCTAGAAGAGCTCTCTGTGAAATAAAAGAAAAAGCATGAAATAAGGATAAGTACCCAGAGAGCCAGCACCTCAGCCACTGATGAGGATTTCCAATCAACCTAAATAATGTGCTCCTGTTATCACTCACAGAAATCCTGGGCAGAGATACTACAGTGTCTGGAGTGAGACGCTGCTTTTGGCTCTCCACTGATGGGAGACCTATCCTGAGACCATCAACAGATAATTTTAACTCCTTTTCTCCAGACAAAATTGCAGTAAACCTTAATATAAACAGCCAAATTCAGTAGTCACTTAGAATCCACTGTGAAACATTTTATAAAGTATATGTTATAACATGTAGCATGTACTGCAAACTTTATTACTCCATTCATTATACTGAAGCTGACAGAGCAAACCAACCAGCTCACAAGGACTCTCCACTCCTTCCAATGTAGTTACAATTAAATTACTAAACTTTTTGTCTCCTAGGACAACTGCCCGAGCATGCAGAGAATGTATATTTTTTCCTCATTAGTTTGTACAGTAAAACTCAATTTGTACAAAAAAAAAAAACTATCACCTAGATAGGTGTCAGAATAAAAGCTCCTGTCCTGTTGATTACATGGCAGTTAAGTTTTTCATAATATAAGCTAATATAAGCATACCATTTCTAATCATCTTTCATCGGCGCTCACTCTGCCACTGCAGTTACAAATGCTGCCACAACATTTATAACAGCAGTAAAAGCAGTTCAAGATTTGCAAAGGACATGGCCTTTGTGACAAAGGCCACAAACTCACAAGAGGATATAACTCAGAAGAGACAGCTCCCAGAAACTAATGTTAAGAGATAAGACAGAGGAATAAAAGAAACAAAAAAATCAGTCATTAAAATAAGACTGATTTAGTAACACAAAAACTGATCAGCCCCACAAAACATTTGTATTTAATTCAGGATTGAAAGAAATTCAAGTGTTAGCGTTAAAAACAAAATATTTTTCCATCATCCATACACACTTGATGCTCATGATTTCCTATTAAATGTAAACAGAAAAACTTCCAAGCTCAAAGCAAATACAGGCACTGCATCATTTTAAAGGCAGCCATGCTTAAATCTTAAAAATTAAGATGATGCATGATGAAGAATTGCAGACCACTTGCCACAGATGGAGATTAATCATGACACCATCTTTAGTACTGAAAAAAAACCCTGACAGTTCCTCCTGGGACAAAAATAAACTTGCTTCACCTAATTCTTCTCAGTCTGCAAGAATCCATCAGATAAACAGTATCAATAACTCAATTCACTTGAGATACAAACGATTTTCAAATTCTTTCCTCTCCTGTTATGATTCTTCTATCTCATGGGATTTTTCCTTTCCTGCTAGGCTTTTTATCTCTGCTTGCGACAGTTTCACACGCAACCACTCCTTTTAAAAATTCTAGCACAATTCAGTTCTTGGCCTTTTCTTTATTCTTTATGCTTTTCAGGTACTTTTCTCCAAAATACTTAAATAAGCAAAAACCCACGATTACACTTTGAAGACTAGACTGCAACACACGTAGTATTACATACTGCAGAATTATTTGCAAGGATCGTCCTAAAAATACATAGAATTGCACTGAGATTATCAGATCAGTCTAGAGAAAAGTAAGATAAATTGAAATTCTAAGAAAATATTCAGTTATATTTTTTCTCTAGGAGAATAGTCAGATCAACCAGAAGAATGCAAGTCTTCAAGGATATATTTATACATTAGGATAAATTAATGCCAAGTGAAAAAGTTCTTCTCTATTCTCTAAATCTTTAATAGTTAACATAAAAGGAGAATGAAAAAGACAAATTACAAAAAAATAGAATAAGTATTTGAAAAAAAATGTTGCCAAGGCTTCTGTACCTAGTAAATGGACAGGTGAAAAATAAATACATCCTAAAAACAGTAAGAAAGTACATAGCTACTGTTAGAACTGGAAATTGAAACTGGAGTCAGTGTAGCACATAATGATTTTTAAAGTTACTTCATTGGTTATTCTACAAGATTAGATATTTTTTCAAGCATATTGGAACATATACTTTATTGCTGGTAGATGTGACAAACCTTTTCACAAGAATTTCAAGATAATCAAAGTGATGAAACTTGACAGTGATTTAAAAAGGTTTCTCTCTAAAACTTTGCTTATTGAGATGAAGAAAATTTACAAGCTAATGGATGGGATGGTTGGTAGCAGCTCTTTCTCTTTACACAAGGTTGCAAAGCAGTCTTACCTTCAGCACTGTGTGTCTCTAGACTCATTCCACTAAGGTCAAGTTTAAAAAAACATGCTTCTGTCTACTAACCAAATCCTTTTCTCCAGCCCTGTGTCACAGTAAAATTTTATGTAAAATTACAAAAAATCACGACACAGGAACATTTAACTCATTAAATAAATTACAGGTGCCAGTATTTTGCAAACTCCACGTATTGAGTACCATAGAAAAGCGTAACTAAAATTGAAGAAATGCTTAAATGATCACAAACCATCAACTCTGGTTCCAGTGAGTTTCCAACAAGCTGCCTAAGAAGCCAGATGCATCAGATGCATACACCATAGCAGACTAGTCTGGTGCTCTTCCTACTACTACAATGAATAGGAAGATGGTACACAACAAGGCTTCAACCACTCCTCTTGAAGGTGCAATATACTATTTATTACTTGATGTGATCTACTTTAGTAAGCCATAAGGCATGGATTTCTGAGGCATAGCCTCTATTCTTTCAGCTCCTCTTTAGTTCACAGTAAGATAGCAGGGACAAATGCTAGTGATGATGGCATTAACAAAACTTAAGCGTCAAGACTAATGTCATATTAAATGCAGTCAGAAATGAGCCTTCAGCTTTTACTGTCTCCATCCACAGAGAGCTAGCAGCAGTACAGGTTGAGCTGCTGAGGAAGTAAGCGCCATCTGAGAAGTCATCCCCTCTCTTCTCAAGGAAAACGAAGTACAAAACTTGACTAGACAAAAACTTTGGGGCAGACAGATACGACCCACAGATAGATCTTGATGTCAAGCATCATTATAAACAACACAAATAATAGTGTTCAAAATACATCATAAAGATGGATGAGAGACACATGCCCTTAATACGTCAAAGGTTTATTCTAGATTCTCCATGTGGTCAAAGATGCTAAACGCAATCCTGCTGTATCTCACAAGAATATTCTGCAATTCTTATCTCAGTCCCTCTAAACATTAAGGAAAATTGCTTAAGCATGACATCTGCTACAAACAGTAATGAATCCATTATGTCTAACTGTGATCTGCTATTGACCTTTAGTGCTTCAGAAAGAATGGTACTACTGGTGTAAAAGACAAAGGCAGACTTTCAAAGTTAACATTCAAACTTAAATATACAATTGTAAATAAGAGACTGTTAGCATTTCTTACCAAATATCACCAACCTACAGTGGAACTGGGGTGTTAAAATATATTTTAATGAAAGTTTCTAGTTGTCAGCTTCGTTAATGCTTGCAATCTCGATCAAATTAAAAAAAAAAGGGAAAACAAACAAACAAACAAACAAAAAAAAAACAGTACCACAGAAAACTCTGAACCCTGAATCAAACTGCAGAAGTATATGAACTCTATGAATTTACCTCTCAGTTGCTTAACTGGCAGTTGCTCCAAAGGAATTCTGTGATTCTGTGAATTCCATCCAGCCCAGCAGCTTTGTTTTGTTGGAACAGTGATGCATCTCCATGACAATATCTCAAACTGGCATACATTGACCACAGTGCCTAGCAATAAGAGCCACTTGTTGCTACTGGCTCATACCCCAAGCCAACAGTCCTGAAACGGACATCAAGGTTTGTCAACAAGTAGTCAGATCATCCTTATGGGAACTTGTTATTAAATGGCATTTAGCACTACGTTCTCCTTTACAAATTACTTCCAAGACCTTTTTCTCAAGCTAAAGCTTTTCATTATCTTATTGTTTTCTCTTTACAACATGTGTTATTAGAAACTTTACAGGTAGCTTTTACAGATACAACCAAGAATATTTTTAACTCCCCAACTCTGAAGTGTGTTAGATAAGTGTCCATATGTAAATGGAGGTCAAGTCAATAATGAATCTGTCTGGATTCAAAGCTATATAAACTCAAATTAGAAATAACAAGTTTTGAGAAAGAGGGCTATTAACTGATGCATTAGTTCCCTGAAAAGTGTTATGTCTTGACTTAAAGATCCTCAGATGAGACAGAATTTCTAAAAAATGTAATTTCAACACAACTTTATGTTCTACCTTGATGAATTTAATCTATAACATAATACAGTGAATTCCGTTTCATGTGAAATGGACAGCTGAATAATTATAACAATCTCACAACTTCTAACTTTTAGGTAAGCACTTGAAATTTCAAACGATGTATACTTTATTGATTTGATGAGCAAGTGATCTTAGCATCCAGCAAACAGCACCCAGCTGCTTTAAAAAAAGAGACAAAATCTAATATTAGATAAATGCTTGGCTGCAAATGTGTTGTTTTGTTTTCTTTTCATTTTTTGTTTGGTTTGCAGGGGACAAAAATAACAGCAAGTAGAAAGAAACCGGATATCTTTTTCAAAAACAGTATTACACATCTTTTGGTTGCTCAGGGAACCTTTTACTTTGAGACTCAAAATGCTAATTACTTACAGTCTTCCAACCTCATTATTCATTCCTGCCTTGTAGTGATTCAATCCCAATGAAACGAGTAAGACGCGCAAAAAATAAATGCATAAAAGAAATCAAACCTACAAGCCATGCAAGCTATTTAATAGAAGTCAGGCAGAACTTTAATGAAAAATGTTAGCAATCAGTTCTGCTTTTATTCTTCAGACCATTTTTAATCACTTCACATCCAGTTCTCAAGCCTATGACACTATGACTTCATCTGCAGCCTTGCATATCACAACAGAAACTGAACAATGTGGCCTAGACTCATGGTTGCTATTTACCTTATGTATTTCTGAGCAACAAATTACAAAGTAAATGACAACAGGCCAGGTGATCAAGAGAAAAAGTGGGAAGTGAGAAGAAGGGAGAAGAAGAGAAAACAAGGTCTCTAGCTTTGCTTTCTAAAATAAGATGACTAATGTTTGTTTTCCTCACATTTATTTTTGCCAGCTTATGCACAACCACTTACTTGATTCTCTAGTTTCAGCTGTCGTAGTTTCATTCCTTCATCCTCAAAGATACTGGAAAGGCAAGAAACAAATAATTATTACTAGAAATTAGTTTGCATAAGAAAATACAACATCCACAGACTACAACATAGCTGTCAAGACTTCAAAACAACTGTAAAGCATGATTTCTATCCTGTGGGAAGACCAAGTTATAAGGCACTATAAAAGAAACATACCTCATTTTCTGTCACAAACAGGACCAGTGATTCAGTCACTGAACTAAACTGCTCTAAAAACATTTTGTAAGCTAAAAAACTTTCATTGCTAATGGACAGATTACGAGCCACTACTGAAGTGGGCTTTCAGACAATTTACAGCTGAAGACTTAATGAAGTTCAAAGCAATTCATCGTAGTCTCCCTTCATAAAGGACCCAACTCCAAATTAACTCACAATTTTAGGTTTCATTGTGGGTCAACGTTACATTATTTTCTCCTTCTACCAGAACTACTCTTAATATCTTTGAGTATGTGCAACTATTCAATTCCTGCAGATATAAGAAATAATTATTTTCCTATTTATTTTATAGCTAATTTTCATAACAACTCCATTTTTTAGTTTTAAAATGTGATTCATACAGTCTTCTCTTTCCTTTTAGATGAGAATGAATTATTACAAAAACTGCAATTTAGAGCTTTCAACTCTAAAAAGAGAAAGTTAATTAATTGACATGAACACATACACATTGCCTATCACAGCTGTACACTTCCTACATAGCTTTGATAAAGACCTCTCTTGAAGTGAAAGAACAATACTGAAGGAAGAAGTTATTTAATACAGGAAACAAAACCTATGTATTTTACTGATGGCATGCAGGGCTAGAAATGACCAGTGATGAGAAGTCACAAGCTGGCAGATGGTGCTGAATGTAACCCCAAAAAAGGAAAACTGAAAAAAGGCACAAGGAGAGAGGTAGAGTGAGGTTTCCACAAAACACAAGCCATTAAGTTAACTTCTATTCCTTCTTGCCACTAAGTTAAAAAATTTGAACTCTGTTGAGGAAATACTGGGTACTTTCAAGTTAAATATTCCAGAACTATATCAAAACAAAAAATGAAATGCAAAAACAAAACAAAACAAAAAAAACTCAAAGGCTGAAATACATGCATATGCTTTGTCATTTTCATAGCTAAACAGATTCCCCAACTCAGAGAAATAGGAATATCATGCAGAAGAAAAAAATTAAAAATAATTATAATAAACTGAGATACCTGTGCTATCAAAAAGCTTTTGCTACAAATTATGAACAGATTGATAATGAATTTTGTTAGCTAATGAAAAGAGAATAGTGTGAATTTAATCTAAATCTATCTTTGCAACACCATGTTGTCCATACTTACTTAATACAGGCAAAAGTTGTTTGCAACCCTGTCATCCACCATATTCAGCAGTGTTGTGCAGATTTTCTATTGCGCACTGTTCCCCGCCTTACAAACAGCGGGGTTGCACAGAATTCAGTTAACACACTTCACTGACCACAAGTCAGGTGGTTAACTGTACATTTATTTAATACAATGTCCTTAAGCAATTACAATCTCAGTTAGCAAATGCTCAACAGGTAACAATTCCAAACATATACTAACAAACAAATCGTCTTAGCAAAGCATACAACTTGCTAAAGGGCAAGGGGGCATGCTGAATGTGATGTGCACTCCTAGCTCCCCACCAAACCATTAGATAACTCACGGAAACTCTGAAAGTTTATGCCACACTCCGTGAATTGCCAGGTAAAGGAGTCTGTCAAGGCATGGTATTTGACTGAATTCCTTGAGAGAGGGCCATAACCAATATCCCCCGGCAAGAAGGGAGATTTCTAAATACTGCTAGGGAGAGTAGTATGACCTGATGTTTGATGGTCAGTTCAGACATTGGTGCATGTAGTGTGAAGGTCTCAGTTCAGATCAGGGGAGATCCCACTCAATAGTGGTCCCTACTCTGCTGGCATCTGGTCTCTGCTGATATTGTTACTTAATTGCTACAGTGCATGCTGCTTCTGCAGTGCGAGGTTAGTCTCATAAGCTATGTGTAGCCCGCTTCATAAAAGAGCAAGGCCTCCCCTGGGTCCTGCAAGAGTTGGTTACACTTCTTTTACGCCTAAAGCCATGGAACCACATCTGTGAGTGCTGTCATATGGTTTTGGCTTGGTGCAGCACCGGCTTGACGTGAAACAACATGACAACAGTGTGGCACTACATTCAGCAAGAAGTTGCTGGGTCAGGCTCTTGACATCAGTTCAGATCATGATCAAGAGGGGCAGTCGGGTTTATCGGTTCTCTCAGCAACACAACTGCCATAGGCTATGCACCAAGATGGCAAACAAGACGATTATGCAAAAAACTGCTATCAGACCTTTGACTGGTCTTCGCCTAATTATGTCTTTCCCTTCAGCATACCTTTTCAGGAGAATCCCACAAACCCCACCATGCAAAGGGGTTGGAAATACATCATTTTAAAGACTCTTCAAACCCAAGACATTCTACAATTCTATAATACCATTAAATGCAAAACAACCTAACACTAAGTGAAATACAGGTGAAAAGTAACAAGCTGTTCCAGTTAAAACAGTTGAGTAGGAATACATTAGACTTGGCCAAAAGGAATTCTTTCAGAAATTCATCTTTTTGGAAGTGACTATCCACATGTCAGATATAACGAGGTAAACAATGATGCAGTCTAGTATTGATTAACTGCCGCTAAATTAATGCAAAAAAAAAAAAAAAAAAGAGTATTTATCAGTATAGAGGAATCACAGAATCATTAAGGTTGGAAAAGACTTCAAGTCCAATAGTCAACCCATCAACACCATGCCCCCCAAACCGTGTCCTTCAGTGCCGCAACTATATGTTTCCTGAGCACCTCCAAGGGATGGTGATCCCACCACTTCACCGGATAGTCTGTTTCAATCAACATCTGTCCACTCTTTCTGAAATTGTTTTCTTCCTAATATCCAATGCAAACCTCTCCTGGTGCAACTTGAGGACATCACCTGAGTACTGCATCCAGTTCTGGGCTCCCTAGTACAAAAAAGACAAGGATCTCCTGGAAAGAGTCCAGCAGAGGGCCACAAAGATGATAAAGGGCCTGCAGTACTTCTCCTATGAGGAAAGGCTGAGCAAATTGGGTGTGTTCAGCCTTGAGAAAAGAAGACACAGAGGGGATCTGATTATTGTGTGTAACTATCTTAACTGTGGGAGTCAAAAAGACATGGCCAGCCTCTTCTCAGCGGTCTGTAGAGATAGGACAAGGGGAAATGACCATAAACTGGAACAAAGGAAGCTGCACACCAATATACAAAGGAACTTCTTCACAGTAAGGGTGACAGAGCACTGGAACAGGCTGCCCAGGGAGGTTGTGGATTCGCCTTCTCAGGAGACATTCAAGACCTGCCTACCTGTGCAGCCTGCTGTAAGGGACCTGTTTTGCAGGGGGGTTCAACTAAATGATCTCTAGAGATCCCTTCAAGCCCCTGCAATTCTGTGATTCTGTGATTTCCTCTAGTCCTAGTTACCTGGCAGAAAAGATCAACTCCCATCTTGCTACAACCTCCTTTCAGGTAGTAGAGAGCAATAAGGTTTCCACTGAACGTCCTCTTCTCCAGAACAATCACAGTTCCCTCAGCCATTCCTCATTCCAGACCCTTCATGCACTTCATTGCCTTTCTTTGGAGGCACTCCAGCTCCTTCTTGTAGTGTGGGGCACAACTGTACACTGTACTCAAGGTGCAGCCTTACCAGTGCAAAGTACAAGATGATGTCCCAGTCCCCTAGTCTTCCCTAGTCCCAGTGGCTATGGTAATTCTCATAGAAGGTGGGACATCACTGGCCTTCTTGGCCATCTGGGCACACTGCTAGCTCATGCTCAGCTGGCTTTCAACTAACCCCCCCAGATAATTTTCTTCCCTGCAGTTTTCCAGTAACTGTGCCCCAAACCTGTAGTGATGCATGGGGTTACTGTAATCAAAGTGCAGGACTTCGCACTTGATCTTGTTAAAGTTCATACAACTGGCATCAGCTTATCAATATAGCCTATCCAGATCCCTCTGCAGAACACTTCCTACAAGCAAATCAACACATCCTCCCAACATGGTGTCATCTGCAGCCTTACTGAGGGTGCACTCAATCCCCTTGAACAAATCATCAATAAAGATACTGAACAGGAGTGGCACCAATATTGAACCCTGAAGAACACCACTAGTGACCAGTTGCCCACTGGATTTAACTCTATTCAGTATAACTCTCTGAGCCCAGCTGTCCAACCAGTTTTTTACAAGGGAGACAAACTTTTGTTTCTTAATAAAGATATTCAAATTGTATTACAGGGTAAATGACACAGGAAAGGTGAAATAGTCACTCAAAAGAATTACCTCCATCTATCTTCAGTTTCAAAACAAGTATTTGTGAAAGCATGAAGCCCTAGAATAAAATTATGATCTTCTGAATGGAATGGAATATTATTTGCACTTTCATATCCACATAAACACTCTTTGAAATAAGATAAAAACTAATGTAGTAAGAGATTGTAGCATGAACAGGAACATAACAGTAAAAACAAGAAGTAAAGGATGGAAAAAAAGTTTAATTATGGTGAAACAAAGACTAAAGCATATGTTATCCCTTTTTCAGAAATAGCTTAATGCTGTTTTGTTTGACTAGCTGAGCTTGAGTCATCTACGTACCCTCATCACAAAGGTGTCCTACAGCACTGAGGGGTGTGTTTACAGATGACACGAAGTTTGGCAGGACTGCTGATCTGCTCAGTGATAAGAATACTTTGCTGAGCGACCTAGGTAGGTTAGATCAATGAGCTATGTCCAATTGTATGGTATTCAAGAAGGCTAAATGCTGTGTGCTACACTGGTCATAACAATCCCAAACAGAGGCAGAAAGCTGCCTAGTAAAAAAAGATCTGGAGCTGCTGGTCAACACCCATCTGAACATAAGGTATCAGGTGACTAAAAAGGCCAACAGCTCCTAGCCTTCACCAGAAATAGTGTGGGCAACAGGACTAGGCAAG